GGACGGGAGGCGGCCCGCCTTGATGCTTCCAGACCTTCCGTGCACGCAGTGATCCCCACCATTCCTCGACCCCACGGAGCACCCCATTGTGCCAGGGTCCCTCCCGCCCGCGCGTCCCACCCTACCCCCCTCTGCACAGGAGGAGCCTCGGCCAACCCGCTGGGCCCTCAGCTCTTCTTCCCTCTTGGTCTGGGCGGACTGGGACAGGGCCTCTCTGGGATGCCTTCCAGGCAGAGGGGCCGAAAAGGCGGCCTGGGAGGCAGATCTGGCTACTCTTTGTTTCTGCTCTGAGCAAAGCGCGGGTCTCAGTTCTGAAAGGGGGCCAGCCAATAGAGGGGGTAGGTGTCCCAGGCTCTGGACCTAAGGTTCCCCTTCCCAGAAAACCGAGCCTGGCGTCTCTCAGGGAGATGGAGGGCCCAGGAGTCTGGGGACCCCCTACCTCCACCCAGAGTTGTTGCTCAGGCCTCGCTCAGGCCTGGGACTGGGCCGACAAGGGCGGTAAGCTTGGGCCACACCTGTTCCCTGGGACTCCGGAGTCGTTCTGGCCCCCCCTTCCTCCATCTTGGGGCTCCCCAAACCCCCAAACTGAAGATGTGGCCGGCACTCTGGCACCTGAGCACCGGGCTACTAACAACGACAATAATAGTAACAGACAATAGTAGTAACGTCGGTCACCATCGTTGGCCTCACTAGCCAGAGACGGAGCAGCAGTGGACTACGCTTGATTAAATCTCATAATTAGGAGCCACTTTAATGAATATTATCACATTTCAGGCGATTTCAAGAATGGCCTTTTATTTTCTGTGGGCGGGCCGCAGAAATACAATGAAGCATTTGAAATTAGTAACAACATGAATTGTGTTTCCAGGGCTCACGCGGCCTGGTTGGGGGGGGCGCTCCCGCCAGGATCAGGGACACGCGCGCCAGAGCTCCCGGCGGCGGCCGTACCCACGCGCTTGCCCGTCTCCGCCCGCGAGCGGCCACCCCCGCCTGCCAGCACGCGGGGTCCCGGGGACGCAACCCTCCGTCCGCTCGGTCCGCTCCAGGCCCCCCTACTGGAGGCCCGCAGGAGGCCTCGCCTCGGCGCACGGGGAAGCGCGGGAAGGGGGCCCGCGAGGCCCCGGCGCAGGGGCTGCGGTGCGGGTGTGGCGCGGGTATCGGGGTGCGGGTGTGCCCTGCAGAGAGCAGTGGGCACCGCGCTCTGGCCCTTGGTCGCCAGTGTCCATGCGCCTCCGGGCCGCGGCTGCTCCTGGGCAGCGGCGGGTTTCGGCGGAGCCGGGACGTCCCCAGACGCTTGGGGAGCTGTCGGGGCAGGCGGAGACCGCGGAGGTCGGCTGTGGAATCGGGAAGCGGAACGACTTGCAGCCGAGCGAGGGCGAGCGAGCGCGGCCTCCCAGCCAGCGCGGGGCGGCGGACAGCGCGCTTCACGGTCTGGGTGTGTGCGGGGAGCCGAGCGCATGTCCCCGAACACCGAACACCTGCGCCGGGGCGTCCGGAAGCCCCCATCGATTGCACCTTTTCACTCAAGGAAAGCAAACAACAACAACAAAGTCGGGGTCCTCTTGGAGATCACACGAGGTCACCTGTGTGGCTCCTTCCTAGCTTCCCCTAAAGAAAGCCCATGGCGGGTCCACACCAGGTGAGTCTCGGGCCTGCGTTGACCCTCGGATTCTGACTCCAGCCTGACAGTTGCACCCCCCTCATCTGACCACTTTGGCGGTGGGAAGAGGAAGGCCCTCTGAACCCCAAGGGGCCCTGCTAAGCCTCGCTGGCACCGCCCCCCCCCCCCCCCGCAGGAAACACTGCTCAAGAAGGGGATTGCGGCAACAGGTACCTGGACTCCCCCACCCAGGCTCTCAGGCCCCGCATAGATTTTGCTGGGCTTTGGAGGATCCTGGACACAGACAGGCCTGGGCCATGGCAGCCCTCCGGCTGGAAGGAGCAAGGGCTTCCTTTACAACCCTGCCTTCCTCTGAAGAACATTTATGGAACTGGCCTTCTGGAGGTTCAACAGTCTGGCTGGGGTCCAGCCCAAGACTCCACCAACTCTCGAAGCTGCAGTCCTGGTCCAGATCCAAGGTGCGTTAAGTGGAGCCCTGAGTCCAGGAGGAAGGGACCGGGCTCTGGATTCAGAAAGGGGCCTTGCCTTCCCTGCAGGCCTGGCTCTGGTCTCCACTTGCCACTGAGAGAGAGAGAGAGAGAGTGATGCTGGCTGGGGCAACAGAGACTCTTCATGAACCTCAAACTTAGACTGAATTTAAAAATGTAATAAACATAGGAGCAAAACCAGAATCTCAACCTTTTGAGGGTCTAGGGGTTCATTCCGTCCAATCCCTTGTCAGAGACAAAAAAAAAAAAAAAAGGAAAGAAAAAAAAGAAAAGAAAAACTCCCTATGCTGCTGCAGGCTTAATGTTTGCTTGCACTCCTCTGAGGATGGGGAACTCATTACTTTACAAAAAAGGAACTCATTACCTTAGAAAATTGTACCAGTAGAAAACTGTACCTTAGAAAATGTACAGTTTTCAATCAATAAAGTTATGATTTGTGAATAGATTAAAAAGAAGAATGATTGTTTAATGTTGCTGTACTGTCTTTAAAAAAAGAGAGAGAGAGAGGGTGACCAATCAGGTAATAGAAATTGCCCCCGTCCTTTTCATTTTGTGTTTAAAGAATCCTCAGAATTATGTAGGGGAAGGGGGAGACACTGGATCTCCTGATTGATCACACCCTATTGGCGATGACCCTGGGGCACTCCTGAGACTGGGCAGGTAGGGCTCCAGAGCCTCGGTGGTGAGACCCCAGCTTTCTCTGGCTTGATGCATCTTTGCAAATCCTGGGAGGAGCCCCTCTCCTGCCCCCAAAGGCCCAGCTCCCATCTGGGAAGCGGATGTAGAACCCAAAACACGGATCTCCTTTGGCCGCAAATGATCCTTGCTCACCTCTGAGTTTCTTTCACTGGAAGAAGAATCTTTTTCATGGCAAGGAACTTTGGAAAGAGATCAGTTGAGTACACCTTGTGCACTCAGCTGTCCTGGCAGGACACACTGGCTGTCACCACTCTCCCCAGAACACTACCCGGATGGATGCTTCTGGTGGTCTGGTCAGCTCAGACACAGTCTGTCCTTCCCCCACCTCAGCCTTTGGATGTGTCCAAGTCCTTTGCTTTGGGCGTAGAAATAACAACAAAACATGAAAAAGGAGAGCCTCCCCCTCTGGAGCAACATCTCTCTCCCTCCTGTAGCAACAGTGGGGAGACAGAAACCTGTTGCATTTTGTAGGATTTTCAACAATTATGCAATGAAATGGCACCATACTTTTGAACACTTCCTTCTGGCAAAGAAGTGTACTTACATTACTTTGGTATTTCTGTGCTCACACATGGAGATATTCAAAGTGTCTTCATTTTTTTTTTTTTTTAATTTGCACCTCTGCCTGTAAAGGTAGGCAGGTGCTCCCCTGCTCCAATCACGGCTCACGCCACGGGGAGGAGGCCCAGAGCGGTTGGGCCAGACTTCGAAACACACTTAGAAAAACTAGTCATGCCAACTTGGACATCCAATATTTTACAATAAAGCGTTTTTTTTTTTATTTAATGTAACTTTCAAGAATTTAAACACACAAAAAATGCAAGGGGAATGTTCACAATGCTGATAACCACAGTTGTAAATAGAAACATTCATTTCTCATAAGATTATAAATATTTGATGCTGGAACTGTAAAATGCACATGTTTTATAAACTAAAAATAAAAAAAAAATAAAAACCAAAAAACTTTGCTTCCTGCTAAAAAGGCATATCATTTCATTGAGTTTCCTAAGCAGCAGATGGTTATTCACAAAATTTTAAATTACAACTTTTTTTTATAGTTTCCTTTTTAAAAAGGTTTGCACTAGTATGTACAAAGTGAAACTATTATCGCAGTGAAATAAAGAGGTTTAAGGCAAAGAGAGACGTTCACCCTCAGTCCTGGGAGGGGGGTGTTCGGCTGTGGGTCTGGTTCAGCCCCCCACACACTCGCCGCCCCCGCCCCCGCCCCCGGGCTGTCCCGGCTGCAGATGGACATTTGGACACGATTCTTTTCCCATACACTAAACAGAAGACAGTGCAGAGTTATATATATAGATAATGTGTTTGTTTATATATATGTACTTGGTGGGGATATATTGAATATATTTAATTTACACTGTACCACACCTTCAAAAATAAAATGTATATTAAAAAAAAAAACAAGAAAAGACAAAAAGTGATAAGAAATGATTATTTACACATTTTCCTCCTTCCTCTCGATCCTGGAGGATTCTGAGTTCCTCTAAAAGTCAAGGGAGCCACATGCTGGGGAACTGTGGACTCGTACACTTCTGTGCGTGTGTGCACATGGTACACAGATACGTACACACACACACATGTACCTTGAAAGAATGCTCTCCAAAGCAGAAGCAGCCACTTAAAAAAAGAAAAAAAAAAGGAAAAGAAAAAAAGGAAGAAAAACAAGAAAGGAAGAAAACACCAGCTCCGTCTGGAAAACCCTCTGCCTGCCTGGAGGCAGCAGACCTCCACCATTTCTGGGGCCCACGGAGCGCCTGGGGGAGCTGATGGGCGGCAGGAGAGTCCTGGGGCCTGGAGGGACAGGACAGGGGCGGCTCCGCCACCACCGGCCACATGCTGGGCCTATGGGCCTGGGATCCCTGAAGTGGTGCCCAGAGGCGAGAGAGCTGGCTGTGGCAGCGGGGCGGCTGGATAGGGGACAGCAAGACAGACGTGGACTGAAGCACAGGGAGGTGCTGGCCAGGCCTTGGTGAGGAGGTAGGGGGAGGAGGGGGAGGAGGAGCAAGAGGGGGAAGAGGAGGAGGAAGAGGAGAGAAGGAAGGAGGAGAGGAGCCTGGTGAGGCTGGGGGCCTGGAAGGCCCGGCAGCAGAGCCCAGAGCACTCCTGCCCACCGCCAAGAAGCAGCGGCATTCCTCCCAGGACCCCAGTGTCCCTCCGGCCGCCAGGCGGGGGTGCAGACCCTCCTGCTGTCCTCACCAGGCCCACACAGACAAAGGGGCAGAACTCAGAGACCAAGTAGGAGCTATTTATTCGGTTCACAGTCCCGTGAAATGCAGCAATAAAAATCTTTGGACTTCAGCAAGTTGTTTTAATTTTTTTCTTCTTTTGAAATTAAAAAATAAAAGTGTCCCAAGTCCCACAACGGAGCCTAGGGGATTAGAAAAGATGAAACCCTAAGCAGCCCCCTCCGCAAAAAAAAAAAAAAATCATAAAATTAGCATAATCTCATAAACACTGGAAAACTCAAAAATATTTTATAGTCAGATATTTTGGATTTTACACCACCTGTCAATTATATATACATAGAATATTGCAGAACCATAGCTAATGCACGATATCTTCACTATTAATGCTGGTATAATCTTTATACACTGGCCCTTTATGATTTTACATTATTGCATTGCTTAGCGCCGACGGAGGCCGGCCCCAGCGCCCGCCCGCCCTACTCGCTGTCCGACTTGCCCTCCTTGGCGGTCGTCGAGTGGTTGTACAGGCCCTGGGCCATGAGGTGCACAGCCAGCGTGTTCTTGCTGCCCGTGGCCTTCTTGATCTTGGCCCGCTTGTTCTGGAACCAGATCTTGATCTGCGACTCGTTGAGGCTGAGCTCCTGCGCCAGGCTCTGGCGCCGCTGCTCCGTCAGGTACCTGTTGGTCTGGAACTCGGCCTTGAGCCGCTGCAGCTGCTCCGCCGTGAAGGCTGTGCGGGGCCGCTTGTCCTCTTTGTTGGGGTTCTTCTTCTTTGGTTTTCGGGACCTGGGACCTGGGCGGGCACGGTGCACAGAGAACTGGGTTAGGAGGGCTCCAGGCCTGTCTGCCGACTCAGGTTTCCGTCGGCCACCTCCAGGACCCACCCCTGGAAAGCCAGGCTCCGGACATCATGAGGTGTAAGGGGGTGTGTAGGGGTAGGGGCAGGCTTAGTGGAAAGGTCTTCGGGGCACCTGGCTGGCTGGGGGGGTGGGGTGGAGCATGCGAGGCTTGATCTTGGGGGTCTGAGTTCCAGCCACACATGGGGCACAGAGTTTACTTAAAATTTAAAAAAAAAGAAGAAGAAAGAAAGGTCTCCAGATAAAAGGAAAACTCCTGCAGGAAAGAAAAACCCCCAAACTTCCTAGCAAGGCCTTTGCTATCCCTCTCTGTCCTGGAGTAAGGGGAGGGAGGCCCAGGGGAGGCCAGAGGAAAGGTTGGGGGAGGGGAGAGGCAGCCAGAGCAGAGGCAGGAGCCCAGAGAATGGTGACAGGATGCCCACTGGCTGCCCACAGGGGATACCCTCAGGTGCCAGGGGTGGCAGGAGTCAGGGGGCAGGTGCATCCAGAGAATGGGAGAGGCCTTGGCTCTGCCTCCACCCCCCAGCCCCCTTTCTGCCTCCCCTAAACTGCATTGTGGGCCCAAGTTCATTGTTTCCTTCCAGGAGAGGAGGGAGCACACGGATCCTTTCCGGGATGGGGAAGGATCACTGAGCCACTCAGAGCTCCCCCTTCACCTCCCACCAAGTCTCCCAGGCAGGAGAGGGGACCAGGTTCCCCCAGACTGGAGGCGCCTCCCCAGAGGCCGCAGAGGAACCCAGCTGACCCTGTGCAGAGGATTCTGATCCCCCACCCGGGTCTCCGCCCGCTGGGACACCCCCTGCACCACTCGAGATTGCTGTGGGACAGTGGTGGCAAGGCTTCTAGGACCCCACCACCTGAAAAGGCCTGAATGAGGGGAGCAGAGAGGAGGGCCAAGCGCTTTCTTTTTGTTGGTATCAAGAAATTCAGCCCCACAAAGGTGTCTTTGAGGGAAGAGACGGCAAAAGCCGTTAGGGGAGGGAAGGCTGGGCTGCACGTGTGTGTTTCTTACTCTGGGAAGTGAACCAACTTTGGGGGAGCTCCGGCCCCAGCTCCTTCCCAGACGGCCCGCAGCAGGGAGGCTGGACCCCTGCCGGATCCCTCAAGCTGCCAGAACCCCCATGGTCTCACCCGAGGGCCGGAGCCCACGCTGCAGGGCCAGGGGACAGCCCCGCCACCCTGCGCAGCAGCGGCGGAGGGATCTCGCCGGACGCCGCCGGCTGCACCAGAACCGAACCCGGAGAGTGAAGAAAGCAGGGGGCGCGGGGTCCGGCTGGTCCCGAGACCCAGCGGACGCAGAGAACTCCCTGTTCGCAGACCCAGCGGTGCGCTCTCGGGGAGGCAAACTCAGGAAGAGGGGCTGTGGGCGCCGGCGAGGGGTCTCCAAGGGCCGTTCGGCTTAAACTCCCGGCCTTTTGTATTTGGGGGCAGACCCACATTCACAGCCGCGGCCCCGCGCACACAGCCACCCCCGCGCGCACACAACCACCGCTACCGCCGCGCACACGCCTAGGGCGCGGGTTCCGCGCCAGCGGGCGGGCTTTGATCGAGAGGCCGCCGGGGCGCGCTCGAAGGGTTAGCGGTGGCTCCGGGAGGCCTCGCGAGGCCCCGCACCGGCGCGGACCCGACCGTGGCCTCGTGCTCCGGGAGCCGGTTCTGCGCCTCCACTGTCCCGGGGAAGCACGCGCCCTACCCTCCAGACTCTTCCTGCACACACCAACCAGCCCGTAAAACGATACACACCATTTTGCGGAAAGGAAATCTCCCTAAGATCAGAATTTTTAGCTCTCTTTCCTTTTCTTTCAAAACGTACACACTTGAGAAACAGAAGCAAACATCGGCAAAGAAAACTCTTCGCCTTTCTTCTTTCTAAAAGGCCAAGAAACACAAACGTTACCTTATGGGTTTCTTTTTTGTTGTTGCTTGTTTGTTTTTGTTGTTGCTGTTGTTTTGTTTTGTTTGGTGTTTTTTTTTTGTTTTGTTTTGTTTTGTTTTTATGTCCAGGAAGAGCAGCGACTGTGGCCCGGCCAGGCTGCGGGGCTCCCTCGGGCCACCCGGGCCTGGCGCGGCCGGGACTCTGCCACCGCACAAAGCCGGGCCGTGGCTCCTCGCTGGCCGCGTTGTGAGTCTATATGTTAATTAAATATTAACAAAGGAGGGAGGCGAGAACAATGGAGCAAATTTCAGATCTAGCTGGAGAAATGTGGATTTCATCAGAAATATACACACACATTTCTGAGGGAAGGCGGCCAAGGGGAGACTCAGTTGTGCTCGGATTTGGGTAAACAAACCCCACAAAACAGTTGAGGGTTGGGGGGGGCAGCGGGGTCGGGTCTGGATTACCAGCTCCGGGACAAATGGAGTCCGTTCCTAATGGCGGTTTGCAGCGCGGACCCCCATTTCATGTAACTGATGATTTCTACATGGATGTGCATTTAGCTTTTAAAAATCCAGATCTATGAAAAATATACCCAGAACCCCTGCACACACCCGCGGGCCCCTCCACCCACCCTCCCGCAGAAATCGGCTTCTTTCTGCCCTGCGAGCTGCCCCAGGAAACCTCCAGGAGAAGGTCCTTTCTTTGGGGGGACTGCAGGCCTCCCTCCTCCCAGCAGTGTGCAAGATGGGGGCTGAGCTCCCCTACCCTGCAATCAGGCAACATAATCTAATCAGAGCGAAGGGCCCCTCTATTGCCATCCCTTCCCTATCTCTATCCCCTGCTCCTCCCTCCTCAGCTCGGGCCCAGGGGTCTAAGGAAGAGCCTGGAACCTAGCTCTTTTTTCCCTGACTTCATCTGGGATAACTGGGTCGTAGGAGGAGTCTAGGTCTGCGGGGACCGACATGGGTCCTGGGTTTGGGCTGAGTTGGAAGAACGGAGAAAGGGTTAAGAGTGCTAGCTTCTAGGCCAGTCTTCCAGCCACCCGTAGTGTCACCAAATAAACTCCAGCCAGGAGAGTGGCAGATTAGGGACTTCGGGTAGTGGCCCCAAAAGCAAGACAGAGAGGGACGGTCCTGTCGCTTCTGTTTTTCGAAGCAATCTGTACCCCGCGGCGATTCAGTCCAGCCCCCTCTCCTACTCAGCCGCTGCCCTGGCCAGCGTCAGCCGCACACAAAGTCCCTGTTTGTGGGTCTTTGTGTGTGCTGGGGGTGGGGGGGGGCTGTCCTGGTGTCTTCTTCCTCCGGGCAAGTTTCCGGGCCAGTGCCGCCCCGCAACCCCGCGGGCCTCCCCACGACGGGCTCACCTGAAGAAGGCCGGTCCGAGTAGCGCGTGCAGTAGACCCAGGCCGGCCAAAGCATGGGCTGCGCGCCCAGGTTGGCGCTGGCCTGCGAGCTGTCCGAGTCCGAGCTCACCGACAGGTCGCCGCTGCCCAAGGCGCGGGCCTTGAGCGTCCCGTCCAGGGGGGCCCCGGCGTCGCCGCCTTTCTTGGCGCCGCCGTGGAGGGAGAGCGCCTTGGAGCCGCCTTCCCCGTCGCCCGGAGAGTCGCCGCTGCCGCCGCCGCCGCCGCCGCCGGGCAGCGGTGCGGGCGCACTGGGCGCGTTCTGCCGGGCCTCTCGGCCAGACCCCAGGAGGGGCTCGGCGCCGCCCGCGCCGCCGCCGCCTTCCGCGCCGCCCGCGCCGCCTTCCCCGCCGGCTCCACCGCCTCGTCCTCCTCCCGCGCCGGCACAGCACGTCCCCGTGTCCTTCCTCCGGCCGAACTCGGGCCGCAGGATGTTGTCGATGAAGAAGTTGGTGATGCGGTGTGGGTGCTGGTGGTTGCCCGGCGCCTGCAGGATCGCGGGCAGCATCAGAGCCCGCCGGCGGCCAGTGTCCGCGTCGCCCGGGCTGCCGCCGCCGCCCGAGCCGCCGCTGGGGCTGGATTCCGGCTGCCGCTGCCCCTCCGCCGCCGCCGCTTCGCTGGGCTTCGGGTCATTCTCCTCCATGCTGTTCACGACAAATCCCAAACTGGTTCTCCGGGGACCCTCCCCCCGCCAATCAGCCCTCGGCCCGCCCGTGGCGCGCACGGAGACACTCGCGGCCGGCTCGCGCTCCTACCCAGCCGAGACTTCGGAGGGCGTGCGCGGCGGCCGAGGCCAGGGCTGGGGTCCTACAAGTCACCGGCCGCGTTTGGAGGGGAGCCACGTTCCGATCCACGAGTTGAGTTAGAAAATACCAAGAGTCTCCCCGCGCCCAGAC